CTCTCCCATTCTAATCAAATCACAAAATAAACAATACACATTCTACTATTAAAGACAATCAGAGCTAAATTCCATAGACCACTAACTTAAAAAATATCAGCATTATGTTATGTTATTTATTTTATCAGATGTGCTATTAAGCTCAATAACATATTACTATACATCATTGTCTCCGTGTATACGTTTGGTTTTAGCATGGTTTCTGAAGGTTGTTTCATGTCTACATATTGTTCCGCTACTCCACGTTCATTAAAAAATATGTTTACAAATATGCAGTAACTTTGGCTAGAGGTCAGGGCTAAGATTTATTTTTAGACTTGTACTAACAATGGTTGTAATTTATTATTATTAAAAAAAATTGCAACTACATTACAGTCAGGGTGCCTGCTGAATACAAACACCATTTCGTCAGATACCTTATCTATATCAAAAGGTGTTAGACACCCCGACGATACCAAATGGTGTCTGACATCACGTTTATACCAAACGACAAGTCTGAAAAAAGAAAAGTTTGCGAGACGATTCTTTAAAATATGTCATGAAATCACTAATAATTATAAACATTTTTTTTTCATAATACTCACATTAGTTTGATAAGGCAAAATTCTTTTAATCAGATGACAAAAAGGAAAAAAAAATATTTTAATATTTAAAATAATGATTGACAAAACCTAAAAGAACAAAATATAAAAACATGACAAATTCGTAGGAACAGCAGAAAATTTGTTTACAATTTCTTTCAAATTGTACCCACAAAAAAATGAAATGCGTGCGTATGTTTGCATAGAAGCATCAAGTATCCATTGATATCATGTCATGTCATGACAAGTTAAAAACTGACTTCCGGTCACGATGTTAGCCCCGGGCTGAATGCAAGCAGACATGTTTAGACGTCTTTCACAATTTCTGCGGAGATAATAACTCGCTTCCCATTGGTTGTGACACACCTGTCGAGAGTTACAAAATATAGGGGAAAGAAAAGACAACTCTTTAATTAATGTCCTTTTTTACTTTAACTTTTTTTTTTTTTTTAAAGTAGATATTGTGCAGTAAAGTGTGTTTTGAATGTTTAAAATTTCACTTTCGTTTATTAAAGCTACATAAATTGTAAACAGTTTTGAGTAAAATGTCAAAATAGCTTCAAATCTGAATGCCATTTTTTTAAATAATTTTATTTTTAAAGTTTTTCTTAAAGTGTTTTTTAAAACTATTTTCTAAGGTTTTTGAGGTGTTTAGTTAGTTGATGATTTCGTTTTTATTTAATTACGAGCATTTTATGTCGTTTGCTTTGTCGTTGATTAAGTATTCGTTGGCCTGATCAACATTTTTAGTCGGGCTAATTTTTTAAATGTGGCTTCTTGATCATGGTTTCAGTTGTTTAATAGAAACATATGTTCTTTTTTACTTTTTTGCTCACCTTTGTGATATGTTTAGTTTATTTGGTCAAATTTCTGTGCTTTGATACCCGTTCATACTATCAACGTAATGAAAAATTTAATAACCCCATTCACTCTCCCCCACAACAAACAAACGGTTAACATTACGCTATTTTCTCTTTTTTTATTTTATACAATGATGTAATCATTGCCACAAATTTTATAGATCTATGCATTTACATATACATATGTACAGGTACACACACACACACACACATATATATATATATATATATATATATATATATATATATATATATATATATATATATATAATCCTTTAAAGTAGATCTTGCATATAGTAGATAAGCGAAGGAAATCAGCGTCTGTCTTTCTTTGATTGTATATGAATATTTAAAAGTACAAGACAATCTGCTATATTGCACTAACCGTACGTTTCATGACAGCAGCTTCTATAAAATTCTAAATGTCTCACTTACATTTCTATTATACGTAAACGAAAATTGTGTATTATTTAATTTTACACGATTGTTTGTTCGCGATTGTTTTATCTCGACGGATGAGTGGATGTCACAACTTGAGACTCATAACTCAGCTTGTCTGTGACGTCAGCAGGAAGGTTCGTCACGTGACCTTACACTGTGCAGACGTGACACCGGAAGTGTGCGAGCGCGGGCAGACAACAGTGCGTGATCAGACGCCATTAGAGTAAGAGGAGCCGCCTGCACGTGCGGATGTGCTGTGCTCACGTTTAGAAAGTGGCATTGTGGGTAATGAGTGGTTGGTGGTGAGGGCGATGTCTCTAACACCTTGGGGTCAGGTGTCACGCCGATACGATTGTGTCAGACACGTGTCACCATTTTATTAAATTGTGTCTTTATGAAATTCTAAAATAACTGTACGACAGACATATTGTCTTTAATCAATACCGTAAAACAGATCATTTTTTATATGTATACACAACAAGCCTACACCAATCACTTTTATCATGATCTATACAAAAGTTGACCAAAATAATAAAAATCACACACATATTACTTAACAAATGAATCAATTGAACTAACCTTTGCCCTCTTCTCTCCTCCCCCCTCCCCCACCCCCAGTGTTCGGGATCTGGCCAGCCGTGCTCCAGAGACAAACGCTGCTGCCATCACCACGACACCTGTCTGACGTCACGACAGGAAGTCTACGACTCGCTGGTCGTGACAACTTTCTGCCGAGATGTGAGACTGGACCAGGAGTATGGCGCCCCACTGAAGGAGGACGGTGAGTGGTCTGGTAGAAGTATGGTGGTGGTGGTTGGTGGTGTGGTGGGGGTGGTCGGTGGTGGTGGTTGGTGTTGGTTGGTGGTATGATAGCAGTTTGTTCATGATGGTTGGTGGTGTGTTGGTGGTGGTGGTTGGTGCTGGTTGGTGGTGTATTGGTGGTGTGCTGGTGGTGGTTGGTGGTATGATGGTGATGCTTGGTGGTGTGTTGGTGCTGGTTGGTGGCATGATGGTGATGCTTGATGATCCGGTAGAAATATGTCGATAGTGGCTAGTGGTCTGTTGGTTGTGGTTGGTGGTCAGATAGAAGTATGTTGATGATGGTTGGTGGTCTGTTGGTGCTGGTTGATTGTGTGATTAAATTATGTTGATGATGATTGGTGGTCTATTAGAGGTATGTTGGTGATGATTAGTATCTTGATGGTGGTGAGTGGTGGTTAGTGGTGTGATAGAAGTATCTTGATGGTGGTTAGTGGTGGTTAGTAGAATGATAGAAGTATGTTGATGATGTTTAGTGATCACCAGACCGCTTTGAGTGGCCAGTAACATTAACTAACTACCCACCTGTCTTGTATAAACTTAGACCACATGAGCGCCCACAACACTTAACTACCCACCTGTCTTGTATAAACTTAGATCACTTGACCACCTGAGTGCCCACAACACCTAACGACACGTTGTCTTGTATAAACTTAGATCACTTGAGCACCTGAATGCCCACGACACCTAACGACACACCTGTCTTACCTTCCAGGTCAACCATGCAGCGACAGCATCCAGTGCCAGAACATGTGTTGCCGTGAGTACCGTGGTGCCGGCTTCGGCGTGCGTGCGGTGTGCGGCACACAAAGCGACAGCATCATGAACTCGTACACCTGCATCACCAGCGCACGATAAAACAAAACCTATCCACCTTTTTGTTTTTACCTCTCATATCTTCTACACAGCAAGCCGCCAGTTCCTTGCAGTAAAAAAAAAACATTAAAAAATTAATCAACGAAACAATTTAAAGGTTTTGGAAAGCTTTTGTTAGAAATAAAATAATATTATAGAAATTAATTATTTTATCTCGAATTTTTAGACTTTTAAACATTTAAGTTCATAATTTTTTATCATTAAACGTGTATTTTGATGATTGTTTTTTTTAATGCTTATTGTTTTGTCTATTTGGACGACGTTTATTGTTATGTATAATGTTATGCTCGGATCAAAGTATAAACATTTAAATCATAACATTATACTTTGATAAACCTTGTTGGATATTTAGAAAAACAACTCTTTATAAGCGGTTGTTTACCAATAACACAATGTACATGGACAATTCAAAATACATTTTCAAAATTCATTCATCATTCAATGTCACAAAAATACGTCTACAAAAATGCTTTGGTCATTTAAAGTCGCAAATAAACGTGTACAAAAATGAATTGGTCATTCATAGTCAGAAATAAACGTGTACAAAAATGAATTGGTCATTCATAGTCACAAATAAACGTGTACAAAAATGAATTGGTCATTCAAAGTCACAAATAAACGTGTACAAAAATGAATTGGTCATTCAAAGTCACAAAGAAACGTGTACAAAAATGAAATGGTCATTCAAAGTCACAAATAAACGTGTACAAAAATGAATCGGTCATTCATAGTCACAAATAAACGTGTACAAAAATGAATTGGTCATTCAAAGTCACAAATAAATGTGTACAAAAATGAATTGGTCATTCATAGTCACAAATAAACGTGTACAAAAATGAATTGGTCTTTCAAAGTCACAATAAACGTGTACAAAAATGAATTGGTCATTCAAAGTCACAAATAAACGTGTACAAAAATGAATTGGTCATTCATAGTCACAAATAAACGTGTACAAAAATGAATTGGTCATTCAAAGTCACAAATAAATGTGTACAAAAATGAATTGGTCATTCATAGTCACAAATAAACGTGTACAAAAATGAATTGGTCTTTTAAAGTCACAATAAACGTGTACAAAAATGAATTGGTCATTCAAAGTCACAAATAAACGTGTACAAAAATGAATTGGTCATTCAAAGTCACAAATAAACGTGTACAAAAATGAATAGGTGGTTCAAAGTCACAAATAAACGTGTACAAAAATGAATTGGTCATTCAAAGTCACAAATAAACGTGTACAAAAATGAATTGGTCATTCAAATGCAGACGACCAACATAAAAAGCATAGAGAACGACTAAAGAAAGCAGACAACATTTTTTAAACAAATCACACAATATAGCTGGCAGGTAGCTCACAGCCTTAGAAAACTACAAAATATCTCTAAAACTATAAAAAATAAAATCTGTATGGAGGCCTAATATAAGCGAGCAGACAGATCCCAAAATACAAGTTTGGAATGACGTGGCCTGAAGTGGGTAGAACATCCGCCAATCGTGCTCTGCTGCGGCGTGTAATCCTGATCACGTGATTCCCGGGGAGAGGTAAAAGACAAGATACTGGGTTATGTTTGATTGTGTTTGGGACAGCGTGGTCGAATGGTAGAGCTTTTGACAGCTAAACCGTAAGCCTCGAGTTCGGATCCCGGAATCAAGTCCTGCTGGGCATTGTGTGGGCCACACTATTCCTTCATATACAGAGGTCACTAAAAAAAGGTTAACCCTGCTCCACCAGCCCCATTGACTGTACGGTTTAAAAGATGACCATTTCATAAGGTTATAACTTAACGGTACAGTCAGACACAATTTTTAGCATGACGGTACAATCAGGCTAACATCTCTCACATCACGGTACAATCAGAACATCTCTCACATCACGGTACGATCCACCTATTTCACCCAAGCCGAATAGAACTTAAAAACCGTCTGCGTGGCATCTCATATTAAACTCGAAACCCCACAAAAATTATTGGTTGAGAAATAATGAAAAACAAGTTATTGTCGTAAACAAATGACAGTGAATAATTATCTCAGTTTTACGTAACTTCTTAAAAGTAAAAGCATTTGTAAAGCTACGCAACTGGTTTTGTTATTGTAAAAATCATTCTCAGCGGTGTCAAGCAACAATTAAGGAGGACCTGTAAACAGTGGCGTAGCGAGCTCGGGTGTCACCCGGTGCGGCACTTAATGGTGTCACCCCCCCCCCCCAGAGGCGTAGCGACCCTTCCCGGGGACAAACTTTCAAGTTTTCGATTTGCACCCCCCCCCCCCTCAAACTTTCGATTTGCACCCCCCCCCCCCCCCTCAAGTTTTCGATTTGCACCCCCCCCCCCTCAAACTTTCGATTTGCACCCCCCATCAAGTTTTTCTCTATATATTTTGCTATTTTTTGCCTTGGTGTCACCCCCCCTAAATGGTGTCACCCGGTGCGGTTCGCACCCCTCGACCCCCCCCCCCCCTCGCTACGCCCCTGCCTGTAAAGCTGTTAGTCATTTAGCGGCGTACAAAATGCAGTCAGTTATTGAAGATGTAAAATAGATCAGCACCTCAATGTTAACACAAACTGCAAGTATTGTAAGTATAAGATTTCAATCAATGTTGAGGAGGTCGGAAGTGGTCGGGTCGGTTAAGCTCATGGTTGCTGAACCGATAGGTTCCGCCATGTAGTTTGTTCTTGGTTGGATAAAGGTTATGGTAGCAACTCTAAAAAGAAAAACAGGCTGAAATCGGAGTCAACGAATAGCGCAAAACAAGTTGACACATAAAGGCCTACTTAATTGGGATGAAAGGGAATACCTTTCAACAATTAAATTAAGAACGAAGTAGAAGAATTCAAAGTTAGCGGTAACTTAATGAATAAAGTTGAGTTGTTCTTTCAAACAAGCTGTCAATCCGCTGGAGGTGAAGGCTTCAAGCTAGTTATCTCCTCTTCTGTTATTGAATATAGTAATCTATCGACTGATTTCATTGTGTTATACCCTCTTAGTTTTGAAACCATTAAATTCATTTTTAATGACTTATCAAACATCTAATTAATTTTTTTTTAATTAGATAGGCTTGCCAACGAATAGGAACGTATCTGGAAAGTTTGAACAAAATCGCTTAATTAAAAGTGGGTCAAAATTGATTTCAAGATTTGCCACAAACTCACAAATAAACAAACGAACACACGTTGCTAAATAAAAGCTTGTAAAATACGTGTCTTTAGAAATTAAGAAGTACTCAATACGCATTTTCAGTGAGTATTCAATTAATTCTAATGTAAAGCTTTAATTAATTCACGATGAAATGTATAAGCTTTAATTAATTCAAGACGAACTGTCTTGTTTAAATCTTCAATTAATTCACGACGAGCCATGTGAAATAAACATTGAATTAATTCAAAACAAACTCTAATATGCACGGCCAATTAAAACAACACTTATGCTATATGTACATCTTTTTTGTTTACTACGATAAACAACATAAGATGATTTTTAAAATTTAAAAAATTGAACGTTCTTCTTTTGAAGAAAAAGATTAAAAGATAACTATCTATTTGATTATTTTAGCTTATATCATATACACATATATAACCATAAAAAGTAAAAAAAAAAGAAACCGGATCAGTTTTCTAAATTGTTTTTCATTAGCCGGTCTATGCTGTTGAATCCAACGTAATCGAAGCGTCTAGACAGCTTGAGATTTGATTGTTAATTAGGAGTGGTCAATTTAGTTGTACATCAAATTGTTACTGAATCAGAATTATTGGCAGCCTAAATACTTTTATTGACAATACAAGCTAAGAGTGTATTTTTAAAAGAATGCGAAATAGCTTTCTTTTTCTTATGTTGCCGTTTGACAAGTTTAATTAAGTAAATTGCTTGATTCGATTTTCATAAAAAAAGAAACAGCTAGCAAGATATCTAACCATATAGACCTACATA